AGAAAGAGAGCAGCGATTGAAGCTAGAGCTGGAGAGAGAAAAGTTGGCAGCCGAAAGGGCGAGAGAAAAAAGAGAGCAGCAATTGAAGTTGGAGCTGGAGAGAGAAAGACTGGCAGCTGAGAGGGCGAAAGAAGAAAGAGAGGAAAGGGAACGGCAGCGACAGCACGAGATGGAACTCGAGCGGCTCCGTTTGCAACAGCAAAGTGAAACTCCGGTCCAAGCAAGAGTTGAAAGCAGCGAACGGGAGGACCACGGCTTCCGCTTGAACCCAAGCAAGCTGCTCGTAGCGTTTGACGAAAGGAAGGACAATCTCGACGCGTACCTTCACCGATTTGAGACGATTGCGAGGAGCCATAATTGGCCGGAACATCAATGGGCCACTGCTTTGAGTACTTGCTTGAGTGGTGAAGCGATCAGTGTGTATGGTAGGCTCACGCCGACCGATGCAGCCAACTATGCAAAGGTGAAAGCTGCTTTGCTGAAGCGATTTAGATTTACTGTGGAAGGTTTCCGGGACAGATTTCGGATAGGAAAGCCAGCTGATGGTGAGACGGCTACGCAGTATGCCGCCCGACTATGCCATTATTTCGACAGATGGATTGAACTCTCAGGGACAGCGCAGGAGTATGATGACCTTAAAGAGCTCCTAATTAGAGAACAATTTCTTACTAGTTGCCACCCAAGCCTGCCACCGTACTTGAAAGAGAGGAAGGCTGAGTCACTTGAAGGAATGCTTAAATTGGCTGATCAATTCTTGGAAGCGCAAGGTGGCACAAATTTGGCCAGAGTCAAGAAGGAGTGTGCCGAAGATTCTGAAAATTCGGCACCCGAACAAAAGAAGCGTGCACCGGAGAGTGTTCCGCGATGTTTTCTGTGTAACCGAGTGGGTCATCGCACTAGCAACTGTCGAACTAACTTTACGAGCCCTAAGGTCGTGAAATGCTTCAAGTGTGGTCAGACTGGGCACAAAGCAGACGCATGTCGTAACGGAGCGAGTCAAAGTCACCAGGTATCCTGTGTGCTAGCAGCACCGAAATCAGATAGTGATTCCGTCACCGATGGATTCGTAGAGTTGAAAAATGGGGAGAAACTTCCTATTGTGGGTGCTGTATTGACAAAACAGCCAACCGGTGTTACGAAGGGAATGCCAACGCTGCCTGGAAAAGTTGCGGGCAAGAAGATTACGGTTTTAAGAGACACCGGTAGCTCCACGGTTATCGTGCGGAGAAATTTGGTACGGGAAAGTGAGTTGACAGGCAGAACGAAAGTGGTTTGCCTAATTGACAGTACGGTTCGGATGAAGCAGAGATTGAGGTTGAAACCCCGTACTTCAGCGGGAAGGTTACTGCTCTATGCATGACGACCCCCCTATACGACCTCGTCATCGGAAACATCGACGGGGCGCGAGGGCCGAATGATCCAGAACGATTGGGAGAAGACCCTAAGATAGAGCCCTCGCCAACCCAGCGACCGCCAGATACAGTGGAGGAGCACCCCGTGACGGTTCTCACTCGAGCCCAAGGTGAATCCGCGGTGCAAGAGACAGTGAATGAGAGGATGATCGTGTTGAATGAGTTCACGTGTTGGGCAGCTGGACTTACGTCGGCACGACCTCAACCGACCGACAGTGTAAAGGTGACGGAGTCGGCCAGCCAGGCCCAATGTCGTAACATGAACAAGCGGGCGACAGGATCAATCGAGTGTTATGACCCGCTAACAATGTCGGAAGTGACAAAGATGGCTGAGACGCCGCCTCAGATACCATCGGTGGAAAGGGCTCGCCGGAACAAAACGAGGAAAAGAAGAAGAAATCAAGCGAGCACCGCAAGAAAGGACCCAAGCGCAGTTCGAAGTACACGGTATAGGTGTTGAGGTCGAATCGGAATGTGTTTGACAGTGCTATATGCTAAGTTAATGTGGTTGTTGTCCTGTGTCACAACTTTATGTCGAGTGAATCAAAATTTTTGTTACGGTGATGTGATGTATAGTATGGTACAATTGTTGTAAAGACAGACCTTTGTACATTTGTATTGCTTGAAATATGTGATGGAGTATTGTATTCATGACCCTGTGTCTATATTCTATGTGTCGTGAGATTGAATTGCAATGTACAATTGTATTAAGTGATCTATTGTGAGTGTGACGTGGCATGAGCCACGGACTAGGTTACAGTCTTCTAGAGTGTGGGGACTGTTGGCGCTCGTTTGTGTGGTTTTGAATATTATGATAATATTCTTAAAGTGGGGGGCAGTGTCACAAAACGAGCGCTCAACAAAGGGCGCGCCACCAAATTCTCGCGACCAGGCGCCGAGAGGTCAACAATAAAAAAAAGAAAACAAGCATCCAAAGACTCCCGGGGCGCGCGTCCCTCTCCCCTCGGAAACGTAGGTTCGCCAACGAACCTCCTCGCATCGGCGGCCGAGCAAGCCCTAGAGAGTTCTCGATAGAAAGGGGCGTGGTGATGCAGGGTTGCGTCATCTTTTGCGGACGGCCCTCGTACCTTCTCACCCTTTCCCCAGCCTTCGCTGCGTATCGCGCCGACGAAATGATGAGAACTTTCTGGAATCTCGCGCGGAAGGTTTTTAACCGAGCAGCCGAGATGAGAGATCAGGAGAAGAAGGAAGTTAGCGTCAGAGTGCGTTGGGTATCCCGCCGCGTCTGTCGGCCCTTAGATTTTAGATTTTGTCCTTAGTGACAAAGCAGGAGAAGAAGAAAGTATGCGCCGGAGTGCGTAGGGTGTTCCGCCTTGTGGGCGAAGCCTTTTGTCTTCCTTCACAAAGGAGGAGAAGAAGAGGATTTCCACCTGAGGGGTGAAGACTCGAGCTACAGGCAAGAGTGTGTGTCTACCGCTTTCGAGCGAAGATGCGTGGCAACAGCTGCGTGTGTGAAGCCGACGTGTTTCCGGCGAAGAAGTTTGGGGCTTAGAGAGCGGCCAATTGAAGACGCGAGGTTTCCTGGAAGAGAAACTTCGGGGGCAGCGGAACGACAACAACGCTGGACTTTGAGTGAGTGATTCTCGGAAGAGTATCATTCAGACTTTTGTTCCAAAAACTTTGGACTGAATAAGTTTTCTAACTCTTTAGTCTTTAAGTGTCTCGGTTGTTCGCTGCATGCGACTGCATATTAGTGCGTATTGTTGTCTGTGTCCGTTGTTTCGAGTGTGGCTGATTGGACTGTGTAGTACGTTGTTTGATTGGTGACATATTGTATTAAACTATTGTTGAGCGTGCATACTTGTGTATCGTTTTGATCTGCCATAATTCAGAATATAATTTTGTTTTGTTTAACAACTCTCGGCTCTGACTTGTTCAATGGGCCACAGCCGGCGTCCGCTGGTGCGCCAAATAGGACCACTTCTAAATTGTCCACGCTTTCGTGGTGCGGTTCGGGGGGCCGATACTCCTGCACTTGGAATTAGCCCGGCGATCACCTCCCGAATCAACGGGACTCGTGATAACGGGGCCATTTTTTTAATTCACTTCTAAAAGTGTAGCTGAATGCTCGCGCTTGCAATCTAGGCTCATCGCTTGCGCATCAACACTGACGTTTCAGAATGCGAGAATCAATGGCAGATGTCGTGACGTCACACCAGATCTGTAGTGACGTGAGTGACCTCCTCCATCTCCAAAACGCATGTTGTGAACAAGGGAACTCGCACGCCTGCTATTACGAGTGTGCTGGTGATCCTTGCAGACACACTGTGTGCGTCCGTCAAGGACACTGGGTGCCTTCGTTCGAAGAGACACTCGACACGTCCTTCACGGACAGCGGAAAGGTCCGTCAGAGATGCTGCGCGCGTCAAACAGCGGGGCTGCCCCCTCCTCTTTCAGCGTCTCCACGCCTATAAAAGGCCAGCGCATCTAGCGTCGGGCGCCTTCCTCGTCCACGTTCTGTACTTACATGGTAAATATAAACGCTTTGTTTCCTTCTTGCAGCCCTCTGCCTTGCCACTGCCTAGATGCACGAATCATGGTGAACGAATCATGGTGAACGAATCATGGTGAACGAATCATGGTGCGAATCACGAATCATGGTGCACGAATCATGGTGCACAAATCATGGTGCGTGCATCAAGCTTCCTGGAGCTGAAGGAGACGCTTACAGTAAAGAACACGCATGCAACAAATTTGGTGGCACCACCCCTTTTGATTAAAAAAACATTTTTCTCCCTTAAAACTAAATCTGCTCTTTTGAAACTTTCTGCATGTATTGCTGACACACTATACTATAGAACAATATAAAAGCTGTATTTTTACTTGTACCACTCCATTGCAATAATGAAGCCACAATATGAGTCAAAATGCTGTTTTTTCTAACTTTGTCACAATGTTTGGCAATAATTTAGATTCATTTGCTCCCGAAGCATTTTGATCATTTATTATGGGAACGAATAAATCTGGAAACGTAAATACATTACTGGCTCAAATGTTCGTGCTTTAAAAAAACATTAAACATGCACCATATTGCACTTTTTTGCCGATGAGGAAAAATAAAGAAAATCAAAACACAAATGCATGAAAGAGTAGTGCCTTGACATTGATGGGAAAATTGTTTCGTAATAATTACTCAAAGCAGTGATATTATATAAATATTTGATGTGACGCGGTTTCGCTTGGGTGCCCGAAATCTTAAGCACCCTCTGAGCAATGCAAAGCTTTTCCGATTTTAGTCCAGGTTTTACTTATTCTCGAAATCAGCATCCATGCTTTTTTCGAAAGCTGATGAAATCCCAGTGACACATAGATGGAATATGAAAAAGGCGTCCTTTCAAATGCCAACTTTACATAACATATCACAACCCGCCCCCCTAGTGGCCTCTCTCATCATCATCGCTGTGCCGGCTCTCACGTGTCTAAATTTCGAAACTATGACAGCCAGCTGAGGGGACATTGAGGCTCCTGGTCTAATCTATCCATCGTCTTTATTGCTGCAAGAATATTGTACCAATACTTACAGATACACAAGAAATAAACGCAAAAGGCATGCACAAAGACACTCACTCAAAGAATAGGGGCCGGGCGACCGTCTCTCCATAGACGTGGCTCCTGTAGAACAGCGTGTATAAGTAAGGAATCAACCTATAACGAATAGCCAAGTTCGCTGATGCACTTCGTACCACAAGTTCACCGAGGCTGACAGGATCTTGGTCCTGCGAAGAAAGACATTTCGCTCATAATCAGCTTTAAAACATATGCACCTGCGCAAACTTCAACGATACAGAGATAACAGAGAGCGTTTTAGGAAACCTTGTCAGTTAACGATCTTGAAAGGTTGTTTGCGATGGCGAAATGCATGCCATTAGCGTTTTATTTTAGCAGTGAAAGTTATAAGTACGGCATAAAAATACGCCTTCTCCCGCTAAAGGGAACCATGTGTAGATGCGAAGCAGTGGGCGGAAATTCTTGCACTGGCGGTGACATTGACGCTGGCACTCATCGCGGCGTTGCACAGGAGGGAAACCCGGGGAGGTGCAAATCACACAGTGATGGGCTGGTGTTTCCTACTGCAACATGCTAATTACTGCCAATGGGCAGTGTTGCGATCTTAAACATCTCCGCGCCCACAAAATCTCTTATGCGTTAAGAAGGAGAAGTTTCAAGCAATGGCAGGGCTGTGGTGCAGAACACCCGCTTGACAAGCAGAATATTTGCTTGAATTCTCATTCCAACCGTAGATTGGTATTTTATTTTTTATATTTGCATATTTCAATCGTTTGCTCATGGACAAAGCTGATTTTTGATCACAGCCAACAACGCCCATGCCAACGCTGATCTCGGAATTTTCGCAAAACGAGCTCTTTGAAGTTGTAGCGTTAAACTGCGTGTGCATGACTCAAAAAACAAACTGCCAGCAGGAATCGCAGGAGGCCACAGATGTGCATGTCAAATGTTACGTCTGTAGTTCATGTAAATGACGTCTGTTTTCTCATCATCGTTTGTGTATGTTCAAGAAGAAAATGTTCTGTTGAGTGTTATTGATGTTCGTGACAGTAAATTTTTCTGAACACGTAGTAATATCACGGCGAAATATAAACCCCATGACACATCTAGCGTCGTGCAAATGCCGAAACTTACAATGCCGTCGTCGGTGTTGTGGTTTCTTGAAAATGGATAAAATGCTCCAAGCGCGTGCCAGCGTGCGCACAGCTCGACAGTTGTGTTCTGGTTGAAGCCGCATATGTCTGCACCCATCAGCGGCATTCCGTACATGCCAAAGCTGAGGATATCTGAAAGAAAAAAAAAAACGAGGAGTACACGAGTGTAGTAGCTGATATTTCCTCACGGGAACATTTGGACGATGATGACGGTTAGTATTCAAGTACTGGAGACGATGGTAGAGGGGGGCAAGATCCTACACGCCCTCCCCTCTTATCACCAATAAGGTGGGTGGGGGGAGGGGGGCCACTAAGCTTCTTCATACTATTACTAATTCGAATATGTCGCGTCATTGATTAAAAACATGGTTATTTCCTACGCAGGTTTCTAAAAATAATGGCGGTTGGAGTTTCCTGGTAATGTACGACATGTTTTACTCACCATATTTACTACAGGAAAGCCAGAGATCAGAGTTAGGCCACAAGGAGAAGCATTTAACAGCTTGATTTTAATTTCCCTGGGCATTGTGTGAAGCATAAGCTTGGACTCTTAACGGCGAGTGGGTAGAAGTGGGAGGCTGCGAAGACACTGTGCCTCCTCCCTCCCCCTTGTACCTAAGTGAGAACACTGCACACGCACGAGTGGGACCAAGTACGCAAGTTTTTGTCTATGTACCTATTTGTACTACTTGTGTAGCTTTGTGACTGTCTCCACTTTTTTGCACGATGACAACAATTAATCAACAGGAGTACAGAGGCCCCACGCGTAGGAACCAACATATCTTTAAATATATAAACAAATACGCTTCTCGCTTGTATACTATCGTACTTATAGCATTCAGGAAAGTTAAGGAACTAATAGTACTGTTGTATTCATAACATCCAGAAAATGTTTGCCAGAGAATCTGAGTGAACTTATTCTAATAGAGTCATATCTTCACTTTACGAATGCCAAAGATGACCAATCGTTTAGCGCATGCCAGCGCTCGTGCAGACTGACATACGTGAACATGCACACGCCTATACACTATAGTACACTTCCATGCACATGTCCTGTGAGAATTGTTGAGTAATGCTGAAGTCGTTCACCGTGGTATAATTGTAGTGATTTATGTAGGGGTTTTAATGTGCTAGAGCTGCGATAAGATTACGAAGCTAGGACCAGTGCAAGGGCTCCGGAAAATATCGCCTGCCTGGGCTTTTAGATGCGGAAGCATCTTATACTCGCGCCTTGTAGTGCGCCGTCCGCACCGCTTCTCGAACATTCGACAGCTGACGCGCGCGCATGCGCCGTCGCGCCGTCGCCCACTCTTCCACCATCTGTGCATCCCTTCCTCCTCTACACACCACGCGCGCTTCACTCCTCCACCATCTGTGCACCCTTCCTCCTCTACACACCGCGTTCGACATCTACAATTCTCCTGATTCTCCAGTGGACGCGCATGTGGCGTCGCGCTTCGAGAACATTCAACAGCTGACAGTGCATGCACCGTCGCGCTGTATATATACTCAAGGTCGGCGCTCGCTCGCTCAGTTGCCGCTCGTCGGTTGGTTTGTACGGCGCGTCGACGTCCAAGGTCGCGGTGAAATGAATTCCAACGAATCCACAAACACAATGATCGACGTCCCTTCGACCAGCGCCGCCCTTTCGCATACGTGTGTACGTGTTCACTCATTAACACCCCCTCCTACAACCACGTTAACCAATTTAGCCATCGACCCAAGTAAGTCGCAATTTAACACCCCATTTCACAACCACGTTAACCAATTTAGCCATCGACCCAAGTAAGTCGCACTTTAACACCCCGTTAACCAATTATATGCTCCGCATCCTCCTCAGTGTTCCCCCGAGGGAAGCTGCGGGCAATTTTTTTTGAACGTGCACACAGTAAACGGGCCTGTAGTATTTCCTGTCCATCGAACTGTGACACCAGCGTACGGAATCAAAACCGCACCTTTCGAATCAGCAGCCTAAAATAGTAACCATTGAGCTACAGTGTTTTTTTTTTCCTGTTCGTTATTCATAAGGACGAAGAGGAACTGGTGGTTTATGTTTTGCCTTTTCAGGCAGCATAGTATACGTATCCTTGCAAGTACAGTCGTTCGTTCTCCATCCGAGTTTCACTTCGCTTCGTAACGAACCTCTCACCATGTTTGAAAATTGGGGCTGACGAGCGCGATGCATACCATGGGTGTTCATGGTCATGTCTGCTATGAAACTTGCAACGCTACGCGCCGCGGAAACGGGCCATATTTCAAGCTGAACGCTTCTCGTATACTTCTTACGGGCTCGTACCTAAAAAATAGACAGTTTTAGTAAGGCATCCGCAGCAGCTCTGCGGATGCGGGCTGCTATAGTATGGCTGCTAGCCATTCGTTCGCGGAGTGGCTGAATCTTTCTAGTGAGGGAATGATGTACCCGATGTATGACCCTACGTATTTGGCAGTGCTCCGACCTCGCAAACAGTATAACATGTGACACTGCAATAATAATTTGACATGACTTGTAGTTGTGATCAGTTGCTTGAGTAGACGATGAAAACTTAAGAACATTACAATACACAGAAACGAAATCTGTGCGTGTTTTATTTCTAGATGTTTACTGCGAATCACAGCAATATGTTAGACTCCTCCGTTTCCCGTGCGTCCATATTCTGGCGCATCGTGCAGAAGCGAATAAAACTAATTTTCTACCGCATTTCAGAGATCATTTCGCTCATCATTTATAACCCGCATCCAACTAAATGTTCATGCGGCACACCGTCAGTCTCACGTCCATGGAAATGTCACAGGTTTCATGCTCAGTTAGGTTGAAAGCCAAGTGAACGTAGAGGGCGCATTCAGCATAGCTTGCCCAAGGGACCTTAAAGGGACATTAAGTACAATTTCACGGTTCAGAAAACACCGCTCTTATGCCTAGTTCACACTGAAACATCCGCTTTCTACAGCGACCGAAATTCCCCTGCCGCCGAAACACAGCGTCGTTCGCACTGGACGCGCCCCGCGCCGCCGAATATGCCATCTACTACGGGGCGAACGCGGGATGGATGCGTTGTCACCCGGTTGTTGTCGCGGCTCGCAAACGCTACTACGCTATCCAGTGGTGCATACTTCGACGATTCTCGTACGCAAGAAGCAAGAAAAGACAGTACTGCTTTTTTTGCTGGCAAGTGGCTGTCTTGTAATGCACGAAGAGCAGAAAAACCACCGACGCCAGCGGCGTTGGTGGGTTCGTTTTGCTTTGCAAGGCCGCAACAAGCTCGGTCACGCCAACAGCAAGCTCGGTCACCTCTTTCACAAAATACGGAGGCGAAGAAGGCACAGAGTAGGTTAAACTCCCGTTGGTTTCAACATTCAGTTACGTGCACTGCAGCATAACAAGTGAGTAGGGCTTGGCCGCCATTTTTCAAAATTCCTTGACTAGCGCTCCTATTGGTCCGCGGTGACCGATTCGGCGGCAGACGCCGCGAAAATCGGTCCGAGAGCGATCGGCGCGAAAAGGGCCCTTTCGGCGGATCTCGCCGCCGCTGAACCGGCTTCGGAGCACTTTCGGCGGCCGGAATGCTCAGTGTGAACGCGGCCTTACTGCGGCACGACGTTTTTTAAGCCAGAAAATACGCGAAAAGAAAATGCAGATGGAGTCGCCATCTTCAGACTTCTGTACCAAACACTGTGACGTAGAAAATTGTGAAGCCGTCTACTCGTTCTTACGTAGTTTCTAATCAATAAAAATGAAGTACATTGCCGTTTATGAATACCATTGACCTAGCATACGAAGTTTCAAAGTATTTCAGAGAGTCAATGTCGCGAAAATACGCAAAATACATTTTGAAATTTGTTATGTCATGCGCATTGATTGCGGAGTGAAATTTAAAAATGAAGCTCGAACCTTGATTTTGTCAGTCAATAATAAACCTGGGACAGTGAAACGTATGACATTAGAATCATCAGAGTGCAGTTTGTGAATCTAAACCAAGCCACTGTTTCTTTTTAGTGTACCTTTATGTCTGCACAGACGAGGCGCTGAGAATGCCGCCACAACAACGCTTGCGTCTCGGGCGTTCGGGCACGTCATGCGCTCGTGACATAGTGCGTCTGACGTGCACATGCGTATGCATCATGTGATCCCCTCGCTCGCGTGCCGAAGAAGGCAGCGAATAGGAACGGCTACACAAGGTGAGAGGCAAGGATTTCAAGCTCGCCTCCTCGCATGCCACCTCAAAACATTGGTTTTCTCAGCTTCTAAAGGATCAATTAGTATAAAAATTCTTCCGGCTTGATACCCTTTATTGGGCACGTAGCAACTTCCAGTTATGTCACCTAAACATCAAATGCTTGGGAAAGGTTAGTAATGGACCCGATGAACGCGTGACCGTTTTGTTATTAAGGCGAAAGCCCTAACTGCCTCATCAAATTCAAAATTCGACCGTCAACACCCCGCATCGTCAGGGACAAAGTATGCAAATAATCCCCATCACATGACAATGTCACCGTATCACGTCACAGATCCCCCAAATTCGTGACGTCGTGAGAAGTTGCGTAAGATGATGACGTCATCATATTGCATCGTACTTGGTTAAAAGCAGTCTGATTACGAAGGCAGTGCAATATCAGGCTGCCTTCGGTCTCGGAGGCAGTACAATATCAAATTAGGCTCAGAAGGCGCCCGAATAGGGGCGGGGAGCATCAATACACTGACTGAGAAGAAGACAACTTTCGCCTTCGAGTCATTAAGTGAACGCATATGGGCCCTGTGAGTTTTCGAACTTCTGTTTCTAACGTCGCACCGACGATAAAGCAACTTTGTATGGTAGTAAATGCGTGCTTCTATGAATTAGCTGACCATTGTGTAAAAAAGCGGCAACTGCTTTTTGGTCAGCTCTTCCAAGCATTAATTCGAGTGATCAAGCTTCCGAGTTTGTGAGCATGGGTGTTGGCAGGGTGGTGCGAAAGGAGCACTTGCCGCACACCCAAGCAACACCAGCGCTCCACCTGCCCCACCGCGATTCAACACGGACTTATGCCCCGCAGACGAAACTCTGCAGGCGCCCTCGTTTGTGAAACATGTGATTGACACTTGTTGCACAAGGCATTGCTCAGAAAAGTTTTCGTGCTTCTGAAAGAATACACATTGATTTCGGTCCCCGGGTATTCCCAATCTGCGTTCATGGTAGAAAACAGAGCAATACAACAGAGACAAGAAAGACCAAATAGGCCAGTGGCGTAGCCAGAAGATGGTACCCCCCCCCCCCCAACACAAGCACTATTTTATTATTTTGCCGTGACATAGAAAGCACAATATGGTGCTAGAGTACATATACATGCCTAGTTTCCACTTGTGGGGTCTCTAACCGGCGAGAGCGCCAGGCTCTTGGAGAAAACGAGCACAGAATACGTGGTTGGTACAAACAAAAAAACAACACATCCAAGGCGCCGTCGCCAAGGCTTGACTTACCACGAGAGCCCCCGACGCGCAGCCCGAGGTGCTACGCACCGGGAACCCACGCTAGAGACAACCGTTCGCGGCAATCGCCACGCGCAGAAGACAACAGCTTATTTCTCGCTGCCTGTGTGTTGTTGCAATCGTCGCTCAATCTAGATGACCGAGAAACTGCTGAATTTGAACGCTCAATACTCACTAGGAATGCTGAGTTTCATATCCTCCCACGATGAGCTGATATCCCCGGACCAGTGGCCCGACCACTTGGATTGTCCCGGAGATGTCGCCCGAGAGATGATGAAAGGTCTCTTCTGGCGGATCTGAACGAGTGCCCTGATGATGAATGAAGTAAATAAAGAAATCATATTGCTGCATGCATATCAATATTTAAGCCGTATCAATGAAACCCTATGCCCATTTGACATGCGTGTAAGTTAGATGGATATTTTGAGCTTTCTCAATAGTTCCAGCATTGCTGTTCACCGCTTTAATAAACGTGTATGACAGTGGTTAATAGATGCTCGAGCTTCGCCTTCAAGAGTAGATCGCGCTTGGTGCGCATCACTTTCTCACTTGCTATCCTCTTTTTGGTGGAAAGCGTAATCATGCCGCAAGGAACATCTGTGCGCGTAACATTGGCTGCTGCAAACTATCATAGAATGCCCATTGCAAGTGCAGCGTTGTGGAGTGTCCAGTATGCCACAATTCTCTTTTTTATGAATTGGCAAAGTACCCACTATTTGCCTGTGACGCAGCACACGCACATCTGCAGTTGCACATTTTGTTGATATTTCTAATGATTATTATTTACTACTGAGTACTTTTAAGTTCCAGCCACTTGTTGCTTGATTTACATCTTTTGCCGCCTGGTGAGATTATACGCTTCTGTCGCCCAATATTATGTGCGTTAAGGAGAATTCTCGAGCTACGTGATATTCATATCGGTTGTTTTATTGTTCGAATAAGTTACAAGTATAATAGTACAGGCGTGGATGTCTGAGAGAACTCCGAGCTACGTCTTCTTTAGCGCTAACTTTAGAGGCAAGAGATGAAAAAAATTCAACACACATACACGCTTTTCTTTTCATGTGTTTGAAGTTTGCGCTGAAGATGCCTTCGAAATTTGCACTTAAGAAGTATCAATTGACCTGCAAATGTTTTCCTACGACAACTAAGCCCCCCCTCCTACCAACGCACTCGTTTGGCTGGGTATGTTCACATCGAGTGAAGGGAAAAATGCACGCTTTCCGTCGCTTCATCCAGGAGCATTCCTACTGCAAGCACATGCAAACATGAATAAAGAATGAGGCATAAGAAGGTAGTCATTTATGACACCCTCGACAGAAAAGAAACCGTAGCTGAATGTCGACAATATTCATAAACAGAAAAACCCCACACCTACTTCTTTTATAGTTTTTTTATTGTGCTTCATTCCATGCAAATTACATGCTATTCGGTCAGGTGTGAATGTCTTTAGTCCTCTCTTTCCGAAGTGTATTTTTTTTGGACTTCAATAAAGTAATATTCTAACTAAAAAACTCACGTAAAAATCTTCCGTTCGCTATTTGAAGCCCAAGGTTGTATTCTCAGAAAAAAAAAACCTTTTGGAGCTTTGTAAGTGACGAGAAGTTCATTGAACAAAACTAAATTCGTTTTGGTTTGTACGTTGTTTCCTTTGCAGACATTCGTGTTACGTAACAGACAGATAAAGGAGGAATGCGCAGTTTTCCCGTTCAGTGGCATAGAAATACAGTATATAGATTCTCGTTAACTGAAGCTCGAAGGGACCTCTGAATTTCGTTTGAATTATCAAGACGTTTGAACTATCAGAACTTCTCAGATAGATGTCTCTGGGTGAGGTGACACTACACATTATGGTTAGGCATTGATTTTATCACATTTAAAAATTTTAAGTGTTTTTCAACCCTAACTGCACGCAATGAACAGAAAGCAGACGAGTAGGGTCCACAAGTTTATTGGCCATTTACTGCTAATCAGACCTTTTAAAGAAATCATGAATTGCCAACTAGATTTTTGTTATAAGTATGTGCTTTCAGCACAAAGCTCTCTACACCAGTTAAGAAGCATCATGGTTTACCATGCGTGTGTTGTTTCAAACATTTGTTTACTAGCAAATCCTTTTTCCTTGGAGTCCCGAGGTGACTATTTTTCATTTTTAGACTGGTAGGATTATATAAGGATGCAAATTTTTAAATAGTAGCGGGAAAGCAGCAGATAATTTCTGGTATGGAACTGCAAAAAGTATAAAATAACCGAATGATGGAGTTTTAATTAGGAGGCTTTAAATACATTGAACGAGTTGAAGGCCAGCCAAAACATTGAATTTTGATTGAATTAACCGGAAGTGTGAATCATCAGAGTTTTCATTATCGCGAGTCTACTGTAATTACACACGTAATGTACCTGAATAAATATTTTCATCAAGATGATCTATTGTAGTGAATTCAGCGACTAAGCGCATCGTAATGAAATGCGACATTTTCGCTCTGTGACAACCGGGAAGCCATCCGCGTTTTACAATTTGAACGTGTTAATCGGCCAGCCGTTCAAACTGGCAAAAACATTTGCTTGGAGCGATGACAGGGAAATGTGGGATGGGCTGTACTGATTAACGTGGAGTCATTGCAGAAGCCCGTAACATCGCATGGAGAAAGAGAAGATAAGGAAGGGACAGTTGTGTGAGACTTTTGTAGACGTAATGGAACCGCTATAGAGAAAGCCGGCTAGGTAACAATATTACGCTGATGCATTCTGAAAAGGACACCATTACCGTCAAGTTTTCACGTAACAAAACCCTTGTCTGTTGTGTAACTGCTCGCTAGTAACGTACTTGTACGTCGCCCTGGCTTCCATTTGAGAGTAGATGTTGTGGACGTTGTAGTGGGACGAGATGTAGTGACGGTCGCTCATACAAAGTGTCTTGGCGCACAGCTTTTCTCCGCTTGGCACATACGGGGGTTGATCCTCCTTCTGGTTCGGAGGGCAGCCGTCCTTGTGACCATCGTAGAAGTTGGATGGTTCATTCATGTCCTGCGCAACGAGAAAAGAACCATCACTGCTTTCCGCAATTTGACATCAAGCTTAGTTCACTGCCAAGTTGTCGGAATCAACGTTCGTCAAAATAACCTGACAAACGGATCTAGATCCGTCAGTTTCGTCACAGATTCAAGGGTGTAATATTCTAATGTAACGAACGGGCCTCTAAAACGTGATTCGACCGACTGTGTCATTTCAGTCCATCCAAGCGATTGTACCAGAAAAAGAAGAAGCGGCATATCTTCAGCTTTCTGATTTGTCTCATCTTCAATTGTGGCCGTACGTCATTCGCACATCTGATGTTTCAACGTACTGTTAGAGATTACATCCATGGCAGTTTACACTACCTGAAAAGAAATTGACCGTAGATGACATAAAAAAAAGAGATTGTCTTTCTTCACAAGATTCATAGAGGCTAGCTTGCTCAGCAATTGGTGATTTACCAGATATACCGCGGTATCCAGGATACATACTTGTCTGTACTGTAGGCTCCAGGGTTCAAACCTCTTCATATCTGCAGATCTTATTATACAGCACCTAAATATGCGATAATCATTTCAGTTATCTTGCCTGACATCCTCATCAGCAGCTGAACTGTTCGCCGTTCTATGCGCGAAAAAATGTGCAAATTCTTTAAGAGATGCAGCGATAACTGCTAATTTCCAGTGATTCACATCCACTACTACTGCTGCTGCTACTACTACTACTACTACTACTACTACTACTACTACTACTACTACTACTAATAATAATAATATGTGACGTTTTACGTCCCAAAACCACGAGACGCCATAGGGAAGGGATCCGAAAATTTTGACCATCAGGTTACAGACGTCACACAACGCACGGGCCTCTAACATTTCGCGTTTATCGAAGTGCAACGACGACCATGACCTGGATTGAACCCACGACGTTCGGGACAGCAGCCGAGCAGCGAGGCTGCTGTTCCACTAAGGTGGATCTTTCCTGTTCACGACAGAGATGTTATTAGGCCCGTTATTACTTACCATTTTGAGACGTACCAGCGCGCGGCTTGCGCCAGACAAAACGTCCTGGCGGCGATACCACAGTGGCCATGTTCCCGGGGCTCGAGCCGCACGCGGCTAGCACTCGCGCAAGCGCGGGGAACGAGGCGCCAATGGGAAACGCACGCTCGATTCCCCCCCCCCCCCCCCGCCCAAAAAAAGTCTATAAATATGAGTTTTGTGCTCGAGCAAGCAACCCCTGTCTGAGAAATTCTTTCATCGTAAGCTGCCATCTGGAGCTTTCTGTCTTTTTCTTTAATTTGTTATATATGCCGCGGTAAATCCATTATTTATGCTGTATGCTCGATCCCTCGAACAGCTAAGGTGTAACCTGTGCCCCATTTATAAGCCAACATCTTCTTATCCCAACAAAAAATAACCTTTATCGGGTACGACAGAACTGCAAACAGTTAACAGCCGAGCCGGCTTTGACAGGATCGACAGTTAGGTTTACTTACAACAGGTAAAAAAAAAGCATAGCTCTACCTAATCTTTTAAGTGGTAGAAAGAACTTGTACTCACAATCCAAGCTCCATCGAAAGGGACTTCATTGTGAAACCTTGCCAACTGCGTCATCCAGTAAATCGTCGCATTGGGGTGGCTGAAGTCGGGGAACACGCTGCTTTTGTCATTCCAAACCTGTTGAGTGTGGAATGAGAAGTGTTCATTTAAAATGGCTAATATTATTGCCTGCGTATTTATCAGCTGTCTTAATACTGTCGCACTGATGCAGTTTGTGCAGTTGCAGCAAGTTTTCTTGTAAATTCCTAGAAGTTGTTGAATGCGCCGCGCGTTCCATAATTATTTTTAGATACGATGCAGCTTTAGGCCGAGCTCAATCCGGTGTGTGACGTGACTAACCTTACTGCGCATGCGCGTCCACCCCCTCTCTTCTCCTCTCCTACTCTCCCCTTCTCTCGTCTCGCAACGCCGACGTAGGGAACGTCTGCTAACCCATAGAGTTTCTTAATTTATACTATAGAGGGAACTCTGGCGTTAGTGTCCATGGGAGCTGCAACGCATGGCACTTCAGCGAGCATGGGAATGATGGGTAGTGCACACATTTGTGTAATATTCGTACTTCTGGCCTGCTTTTGGTTCCGTGTGTGTTCGTGTGGCTTGGAGCTGTTTTATTACGAAACGAATATTAGCAAATGTTCAGCGGTTGCGCTTCACCGTCCTATTCTTTTAGACTTACCTTTCCAGATCGGGTCATGAAGTTCAAAAGGGTTCAATCTTTCTTTTAAAAGAAAATTGAAACACAGCAATAAACGAAGCCGCAAGTACGATTCGCCACCCACAAGTATGAAGACTAGGCGGATGTGTGTACTACCCATCATTCCCATGGTCACTGAACGATCGCAGCGCCAGTGTCCCCTCTAGTTTTTTAGGAAACTCTATGTGCTAATTTACGCTGCCTCCCTCCCTCTTCTCTAGGCATTTCTTCCAGTGGCGTTCGCAGTCCCATTACGCATGCACGTCTCCTCCCCCCTCTTTCCTCTCTTACGCGCCCCCTCTCTCACCACTCAACGCCAACACAGGCAGCGTCTGCTAGCGAGCTTTTTATTGAAAAAAAAAATTGCCCGCAGCTTCTCTCGGGGGAACACTGAGGAGGATGTGGAGCATATAATTGGTTAACGGGGTGTGAAAGTGCGACTTACTTGAGTCGCTGGCTAAATTGGTTAACGTGGTTGTAGGAGGGGTGTTAAATGAGTGAACACGTACGACACGTATGCGAAAGGGCGGTGTTTATTTATTGCGACGAACTTTGAGCACGATGGCTTTTTGGTCGGTAAAGTGAAGAGTGAGTGGATCGGGTTGCAGCGGTCGTAGGTCGAAATTTGCAAAGACGTGGTCGATGCAGGTTCCGCGAATGGTGGTCGGCTGGTGGTGTTTGCAGTCGTCGTGCGTTGCGCGTTTCAGCGAGTGTCGCGACGCCATGTATCCGACTATCCAATCGTCCTTGATGACGTCGATGTTGAAGTCGCCAACTAGCATGAACGGTCGATGTTGCGGTTGTTGTTTTCTGTAATCTTGCACGGCCTCGTCGACGTACTTTTGTACGGCGGCACGAGAGAGGTTTGGCGCGAGGTACATCGTCATGACGTCGACGCCACAGACGGTAGTAACGCAGTGCTCACCGTTGGCGCGTTGTTGAACGCCGGGCTGTAGTCGGAGGTCAATGAAGTAGTCGTCGTCGTTGTCGACGTCACGCTTGACGTAAATTCCCACACCGCCCGCAGGTCGTTGGAACCCGTGCGTGCGCGCGACCGAAGCGTATCCCGCAACGTCGACGTTATCGGCCTCTCGTCGCCGACGCTTGCACTCGGCTTCCCGTTTTCGAAAGTCCGGGTCCTCTTGTCGACGCTTACGTTTCAAAGCGGCCGAATCCGGTGCTGCTGCTCGATGCTGACGTCTCTCAGCGGCTTCACGTTCTCTAAGTTGAGCATCCTCCGCTCGACGCCGACGTTTACGTTCGGCGTCGCGAGCTCTTCTCCGCGCTGCCTTGTCTTCGGACGACGACTTGGTTGCGGTTCCGCCAACACTTTGGCCGGCGCTGGTCGAAGGGACGTCGATCATTGCGACTTCGGACGTCGACGCGCCGTACAAACCAACCGACGAGCGGCAACTGAGCGAGCGAGCACCGACCTTGAGTATATATACAGCGCGACGGCGCATGCACTGTCAGCTGTCGAATGTTCGAGAAGGGGGAGAAGCGCAACGGCGCATGCGCGCGCGTCAGCTGCCGATGTTCTCGAAGCGCGACGGCGCATGCGCGCGCGTCAGCTGCCGATGTTCTCGAAGCGTGATGGCGCATGCGCGCTACATTATACAGCTAGCGAATGTTCGTGAAGAGGAGAAGCGCACGCGGTGTGTAGAGGAGGAAGGGTGCACAGATGGTGGAGGAGTGAAGCGCGCGCGGTGTGTAGAGGAGGAAGGAATGCACAGATGGTGGAAGAAGGAGGAGGAAGCTTGCGGACGGCGCCGCACTACAAGCCTCGAGTATTAGATGCTCCGCATCTAAAAAAAAAAAAAAAAACCGACTGCTCACGCTGCACAATCGTTCACTAGCAACCTGGTATATACATGCACTGGATCTTGACCTGCAAGGCAGCACCAATGAGAGATTTCTCCTGTGCGTTCTTGAACAATGAAAATTCGCTGCATGCGCGTTAACTAAAAGTGGACTGTGGGTCTCTGTGTCCAATGGAAGTCTTATGTCTCTCATTGCCCATTAGCAGCGATTGGCATTTTCTAGCCGGAAACACCGGTCCATCACTGCGTGCATTGCGCCTCCACAAGTCTCTCTCCTGCACAACGCCGCGATTAGCGCCAGTGTAAGCATTAGCGCCCACTGCTTTGCATCTACACGTGGTTCCCTTTAGCGGGAGATGGTGTAAATAATTATTGTAGGGGCATTTATTCACGTAGCTCAGTGGTCTCAAACTCGGCCCGCAGACAAGAAATTTAATGCCACATGGACCGGGGCAGCGAACACTAAGGGCAGGGGGGCGCCATTGTGAATGAAAAAAGTGGGGTGTAGTACGGATGAGAAAAAGAAAATGACAAGAAAGGCTAATTGGGGCGTAGTACTGAACAGGGACTAGAAAAGAGAATGACAACATAGGTGCAGCTGCGCTTGTGTTGTAGGCCTTTTTTGTTCTCTGTTCTTTATAATGCACCCAACGGTTTGCCTCCAGAATGAACCGTTACCAACTACCTCAAATGAATGTTTTGCTACAAGAGGGGAGGCGGGGGGTATCTGACGAAAGATTTCAGAGATCACTTTAAAGGAAATTGGCCGTCAAAGTATTTCAGCAACATATCTACACCAATCGTCAGAATGACCAAAATCTGGACGCCTATTCCGAAACATAGTTCTTGTTCCACTGCATGGGGAGCTTCACGAAAAAGGTTTAGCGCACCGAACAAGGCGTTATTAATCGCAGCAGACGAGAAAATAAAGCTACAGCAATCTTGCTGATTCCGTAAAGCTCTGTCACAAACTTTCTTCTCGTTTTTTTTGTGTTCCTTTTCTCTTTGTTAGTACTTATTCCTATATTTCTCCCTATTCTTTTTTTCATTTCTCGATTGCTTCCGATTTCAATTTCTCTACGTGGTTTCTGTTGTGGTGTTTACCTTGCCATAGTAACAGTTTCCGCAATTTATACGATCATCAAGACAGCCTGAGAACAAGAAAAAGATGACCAGCATTAAAATTATCAAGGCATTCGAAGAACCTGAACGTGGCGCGTTCTGAATAAGCTTCAGCTGTCTATGCTTTTGCCTACGTTACGTCAAACAACTTACCTTTCCAAAAACAATTCCTCCGGTGATATTTTTGACGAAAATATCCATGGAAACACCGTCGTCGTACGGAGGGTAACTGCCGGGTGCTTCAGAACCGCTTACGGCTGGATCCTGCGGGTCGTGCGTACTACAGATCAGACAACATATCTCATTAAAAATATTTCTTTTTAAAAAAGTGTTCGTGGTGCTCTTAAGGCTACTTGCCACGATGACGACGTAGTGACGGCCAGAAGCGTGAAGCTCCCTGACAAATTCCGGAAGTCCTTCGAACCTGTCCTTGTCGTAGGTGAAGTCGTTATTGCTTTTCATGTAGTCAATGTCATTCCACTGGGTGTCCTTGATTTCGCGAAGAGAAAATATCATGCACATTTGTTAGGCAATAATGTGTGTCCAGCCCTTTCCTACTATATCTTTGTGTAGCTCTAAGCAACATCGTCATACTCAGACAGAGGCCTCTCCCAATTAATTCCAGTTTAGCGCATCCTGCATGAACTGATTCGATATTATTCCTGCTTTCGTCACTCCATAAAACTCTCGGCCTTCCACGACTGCGTTTGCAGTTCTTCGGTGACAATTTCGTACCTCTTACTGTCCAGCGATTGTCTGTTCTTCGCATTACGTGACCAGCTCACGTACATTTCTTTCCCTTGATGCCAGCTAGGATATCTGCTACTTCTACGTGTGCTGTTACGCATACTACCAATATCTTACTGTTAGTCCTAACATTTTGCGTTCCATCGCGCCCAGCATGCTCCTCAGCTTTTGCTCTTGTTGTTTTGTTATTCTCCATGCTTCCGCCTCATATGTTAGAATCGGCCCTCAGTGCTGTATTATCTTGTTATAATGCTTGACCATTTTTCCCAATGGTCGTAATGTACCCCCTCTTGACGGTGAGAGTAAATACCAGTGGAATTCCGGCCTTGATGTTCATCTCCATTATGTACCGAGTCCGGTTGAGCGTCTTGTAGCCGAAGCGGCACAGGTGAAAGCCCAGGCCCCAGTAGGGAGGCATGGCGGGCATGCCCACGACGTGCTGCATCTGGCTCACGACGTTGGCCGCCGTTGGACCAGCGAACACGAAGAAGTCCAAAACGCCGCCCAGTGCGCGAAACGTCACTGCGGGAGTGGGCTGCAGCACAGTCTCTGAGGGAGACATAATCAACGTAAATCACATTTTAATACGTCACAGCTATGGCAGTGAAAGCCATACAAAAGCGAGTGAAAACCTGACTGTGCTTATATGATCTTAATTTTCTTTCTACCTTAAGGAAATACAGTGACAGGTGAGCTGCGGAAAAGGCTGTCATCGAAAGTTTGACCGAGCACAGCTCCCAAGTACAATTCGACACGGACTGCCAATTCAAAGCAAAGTCGACACACAGCACGACTTCATGTAAAAAAAAGAGAAAAAAAAGAGGAAAAAAGCATTATAGTAAAGCAGACATGAAAAATCAGCAAACGCACGTTATCTGCAACTCTGTACACACAGCACAAAATTCTTCATAAACTAATATTCATAGCACATTTTTGAAACAATGATCAACCAAATACTAGAGCGTTGACTTGTATCATTTGATGATAAGCAAACTGAGTGAGTGCATTATTACATCATCAAAGCTAACAATTGAGTGTTAATTAGAGAATGCAAATTTTCAAATGTAAATTAGGGAACGTTGCACGTTGATACGCAGTGCATGGTATGAAGACCACACCAAGTAGGCATCGCTTTCAAGTAATCTCAGATGAACTCAGGCGAACGCCTTGAATTTTTTTCCTATTCACAGACTACTAATAAGTTTATAAATCATATTACTAATCAATGTTTGCTGAGTTTTTTTAGCTAGAAAGTGTTTTATGCCGGGGTCCACCAAGACTTCAATGATGTATTTCCGTCCCGGAAATGACGTCGAAAAAATACGCATTATCAGAAGACAAAGAAAAAAAAGTTCCGCGACTACACATGCTCGCGCGCTACCCACTGCGCCACGGTCACATTTGTGTGTGTGCGTATGCGTGTGCGTGTGTGTGTGCGTGTGCGTGCGTGTGTGTGTGCGCGCGTGTGTGTGTGTGCGTGCGTGTGCGTGTGCGTGCGTGTGCGTGCGTGTGTGTGTGCGTGTGTGTGCGTGTGTGTGTGTGCGTGTGTGTGCGTGTGTGTGCGTGTGTGTGTGCGTGTGCGTGTGTGTGTGCGTGTGCGTGTGCGTTTGTGTGCGTGTGTGTGTGTGTTTACCTTGCCATAGTAACAGTTTCCGCAATTTATACGATCATCAAGACAGCCTGAGAACAAGAAAAAGATGACCAGCATTAAAATTATCAAGGCATTCGAAGAACCTGAACGTGGCGCATGCTGAATGAGCTCCAGCTGTCTATGCTTTTGTCTACGTCACGTCAAACGACATACCTTTCCAAAAACAATTCCTCCGGTGATATTTTTGACGAAAATATCCATGGAAACACCGTCGTCGTACGGGAGGGTAACTGCCGGGTGCTTCAGAACCGCTTACGGCTGGATCCTGCGGGTCGTGCGTACTACAGATCAGACAACATATCTCATTAAAAAATATATTTTTTTTAAAGTGTTCGTGGTGCTCTTAAGGCTACTTGCCACTATGACGACGTAGTGACGGCCAGAAGCGTGAAGCTCCCTGACGAATTCCGGAAGTCCTTCGAACCTGTCCTTGTCGTAGGTGAAGTCGTTATTGTTTTTCATGTAGTCAATGTCATTCCACTGGGTGTCCTTGATTTCGCGAAGAGAAAATATCATGCACATTTGTTAGGCAATAATGTGTGTCCAGCCCTTTCCTACTAATATCTTTGTGTAGGTCTAAGCAACATCGTCATACTCAGACAGAGGCCTCTCCCAATTAATTCCAGTTTAGCGCATCCTGCATGAACTGATTCGATATTATTCCTGCTTTCGTCACTCCATAAAACTCTCGGCCTTCCACGACTGCGTTTGCAGTTCTTCGGTGACAATTTCGTACCTCTTACTGTCCAGCGATTGTCTGTTCTTCGCATTACGTGACCAGCTCACGTACATTTCTTTCACTTGATGCCAGCTAGGATATCTGCTACTTCTACGTGTGCTGTTACGCATTCTACCAATCTCTTAATGTTAGTCCTAACATTTTGCGTTTCATTGCGCCCAGCATGCTCCTCAGCTTTTGCACTAGTTCTTTTGTTATTCTCCATGCTTCCGCCTTATATGTTAGAATCGGCCCTCAGTGCTGTATTATCTTGTTATAATGCTTGACCATTTTTCCCAATGGTCGTAATGTACCCCCTCTTGACGGTGAGAGTAATACCAGTGGAATTCCGGCCTTGATGTTCATCTCCATTATGTACCGAGTCCGGTTGAGCGTCTTGTAGCCGAAGCGGCACAGGTGAAAGCCCAGGCCCCAGTAGGGAGGCATGGCGGGCATGCCCACGACGTGCTGCATCTGGCTCACGACGTTGGCCGCCGTTGGACCAGCGAACACGAAGAAGTCCAAAACGCCGCCCAGTGCGCGAAACGTCACTGCGGGAGTGGGCTGCAGCACAGTCTCTGAGGGAGACATAATCAACGTAAATCACATTTTAATACGTCACAGCTATGGCAGTGAAAGCCATACAAAAGCGAGTGAAAACCTGACTGTGCTTATATGATCTTAATTTTCTTTCTACCTTAAGGAAATACAGTGACAGGGGAGCTGCGGAAAAGGCTGTCATCGAAAGTTTGACCGAGCACAGCTCCCAAGTACAATTCGACACGGACTGCCAATTCAAAGCAAAGTCGACACACTAGCACGACTTCATGTAAAAAAAAGAGAAAAAAAGAGGAAAAAGCATTATAGTAAAGCAGACATGAAAATCAGCAAACGGCACGTTATCTGCACTCTGTACACACAGCACAAAATTCTTCATAAAACTAATATTCATAGCACATTTTTGAAACAATGATCAACCAAATATCTAGAGCGTTGACTTGTAATCATTTGATGATAAGCAAAACTGAGTGAGTGCATTGTTACATCATCATAGCTAATAATTGAGTGTTAATTAGGAAATGCAAATTTTCAAATGTAAATTAGTGAACGTTGCACGTTGATATGCAGTGCATGGTATCAGGACCACACCAAGTAGGTATCGTTTTCAAATTATCTCAGACGAACTCAGGCGAACGCCTTGAATTTTTTTATTCACAGACTACTAATAAATTTAGAAATCATATTACAAATTAGTATGTGCTGAGTTTTCTTTTTTTGAGGGGGGGGGAGTGTTTCATTCCGGGGTCCACCTAGACTTCAATAATGTATTTCCATCCCGGAAATGACGTCGAAAAAATACGCATTACCAGAAGACAAAGAAAAAAACTTCCGCGACTACACGGCACGCTAACCACTGCGCCATGGTCACATTTGTTTGTGTGTGTGTGTGTGTGTGTGTGTGTGTGTGTGTGTGTGTGTGTGTGTGTGTGTGTGTGTGTGTGTGTGTGTGGTTTTGTGATGTTAAACTCCCCATATCGATCAATCAATCAACATTATTTTGCCTTTTTTGTCTATTGTCATTAATTAAAAAGCGTATTTTTTAGCGTACAATGTGTACGGGCCGCAGTCACGTACAGTTTGTACGCTTGAAAAAATATGTCTTTTGTATCTACCATTGTAATCTCACAGCATTCTTGGTGAATTGCAGTAATGCATCATGACCGTGGAATCCGCGATTACTTCCTTCAACGCGTCGTTTCTGAGCGTCCGTACCACTCTGCATGCTTATCTGAACCTTTTTCATGGAGTGGAGGATCTCCTCTTTTCTGGGCTGTTGCACGAGAGTACGAAAACCAACGTCACAGCCTCAGATTTTTTGGGGGGTCACGCGTGCTAACAACAGCCCAGAGAGGACTATGGCAACACCCAGAACGCCTTGAGTGAAAAGGTCTATTAGGAGAAGCGAAATTTTGTCAACGCCTTAACACACGTTCAGGTGGCAACCTTACCCCAAGAGTCGCCACCATTCATAGCATCTATTCTTACTAAAGATAGCTGTGTTATAGCTGTGTGACGCCCGCCGACGTTGCTTGGTTTAATTTAGCGTTCTCCAGTTGCGTTTGCCCCGCGAATAATCACGGACATCCAAAGGGAATACACGACGCACGTTTCGTTTCCCTCTGGTCGGGCAGTGGCGTTCAATACTCCAACATGCCAGAAGTAGGCAACCTTAACCGAAGTTCGACGTCCAATTAATAAGGCTCTATAGTTGTCACATCGCTTTTTGTGGTTCCACTCTCACCATGAACTGCCACAAGCATATCTGACTACAATGGTTTGTTTGATCATTGATGATGGACGTTAGTGGTCGGGACGGAGATGTGTGACTAAGCGTCAACGTGGATGCATCCACGTTAAGCGGTGGTATTGCTGTCCAACACCAATAAAAATTGCGCAAGCTCTCTCATATAAATGTACAAAAAACATCACTTATCAATGTACAGAAATTATTCAACTACTTTTGTAAGAAGATGTTTTACTTTCGTGTTTTACCGACTCCTGTGACGCAGAGATCAACCACGTTTTTTTTTTCTTCAAAATTGTAGGCGTCTATACGTTAATACTCATTAGCAGTGCCCCACAAGTGCCGGAACGATTAACCAATGCAGTACTGTGGATTTTAGACTAAAGTGCGCGTGTGCTAAGTACATCATAGCGTCCGTGCGCAGACGATGCGTTTTAATTTGACAGTTATAGCAGTTTCATTTTTCTAATGATACTTCTAACAGTTAGAAAAGGTAAGCTGTTCTTGAGGTCACTGAATAAGGCGGAAAAGGAGTAATTAAAAAATGGTTGGTGGTAATTGCTCAAGCATAAGATGTTCGTTCATGGTTGAGTCCATACTTTGTCTTTATGTAAAGATAACATTGTCTTTATACGGGCCTTCGGCAGTGACAGTTACTGTACAGGAAGTACAGGCTGAAAACTCACCCAGGGCATTGCTGTTGTGCAAAAACACACCGTATCCCTTGCGGGTGTTGTCGACTCCAAGCAAGAAAGGGTGCGTCCCGTAGAGGTTCTGACCACGCTAGAACGCACAAAAAGTATTAATGTACTTTAGAATCATCAACAGCACATAAGATTTTGTCTTCACATGCTCACACTTACTGGGGTTCGTTTAGTGAATATCATATTATAGTGAACATCATGAAACAGGGAGGGGGGTGCAAACACGGACACGGGAGGGGAGAACTAGACGACTAAAACGCTGAACTCTGTTTCCGAACTCTATTTGCAGCAAAGCTAAAGGCGTTCCGGGGTCTAATTGGACCCCTAATTAACCTTAATTACATGGTAAGTTGCGTCTTTCCTTGTGCAACACTGCCAACAATTCATTACTACGTGCACACCAAATGATTATTTCCTAAGTTCACTTACAGCGAACCTTCTGGCCGTTTTATCTGTTTTCAGGTTGTAAGTGGGCTGTTTAATTAGGTTTGACTTAATCGTGCAAGGCGCTAACTAAGCTATGTTTGAGCGGAATTTAATCCTCATCAATCTGTCTATTGTATACAACTGTTAACTAGAACTGTTCCTAACTTTTTCTAAGGGTCATTTCACCCCCCTTTTCATTTCAGGCCTTTCTTATATAGGATACCATGACCCCGAAAAAGGTATGGCAATGACTAAGGAAAAGGTCGCATAACTTTACGTTGCTAGCAGCAAGCGCCGGAAATCTCGTAGTGAAAATTATGTTAATACAAGCATATATGTAGTTCTATCTTGACTGCATCAGTAAGTACCCTTGCTGAGTCTTTTCTGGATGGTATTACGCAGCAAAATGACAAAGGGCACATCTTCGCATGCTCAATGCATCAAATAAAGCTATACGAGATAAAAGACCGCAATTAATTGAGTGAAGCAAATCCCTCCGTGTTTCTTCTCCCAAGTTTATGGGTCCATGCACTTGCCTGTTGGCTATACTATTACAACTAACGCGCAGATCATTATTGCGCCATCAGCAAGATGCGAATCCTCTTCACTATTCACTATATCACGAATGTCCAGTAGGGAGTTTCTGCCTGGCTCTCATAAAGATTGCGGCTCGTGTGAATGCATACCACAGGAGGTCTGTCCCGGTTAAAGAAGAAATGGCTGGTCCAGTTGACACTTCGGCGCAGCGCGGTCCACTGTTCTCCCAGGCCGTAGACATAGTCCGATGGCAGAAGTGTGGAAAGCTGAAGAAACTGGTCGGTGAACACAAGGCGTGACAGATTTGTGTGGAAACTGGGAAAGATGGAGGAAATAGGTCTTAAATTAGTGTATAGCCCAGTATACGCCCAGTACACACACGCACACACGCACACTATAGTTAATAATAAATGCTTTAAAGCAACGTCTTCATGAAGTGTACGGGTTCTTTGTGATATTTCTTCTCTCGGCAGTTAGCGTTCATTGGCTTTCATTACGCGCTAAGAAACGACTAATAGCCAAATCTGGTAAACTTATCAAACATCTGTAAGGCAAAAAAGTGACAAATGTAGTAAGTATGCTGACACATATTATAAGATTCATAAGCATAACGCTAACTTCCTTTTTTGTGTTTTCCTAACTCCTCGTAAACTTTGGTAACGGTTTTTCGAACGTATAGTTCTGGCAAAGCTGCGTAGTGCATCCAATGAATCTGACGTCTAATCCAAATATAAGGTTCTCTTTCTGAAGACCATGGCTGAGCTCAAATGTTTCGGTACTGGGAACAACCTATATGCCATGCTCGCCATTCGTGTTCTCCAATGTTTGTTCCTCATTTAAGCAAACGCGAAAATTGACCGTTGGAGGTGTCGGCGGCGTCAGCGCGAGTGATGCTAAATATATTCACGGGATGACGTCAGCATGATCTCACAAATCGCATTTTGTGGCGTCATCGTGACATCACATTATGACGTCATCACACGACATCGTCGCTTGCTGGCCGATCACGGAGGCAGTGCAAAACCACCTTAGGCGCAGAAACCTTTCGCATGGGGGACATCTTCTGAAAATAAGATCATTTTCGTCTCGCAGTTAGTCGTCTTAGCCGAATGCGCAAGTGATTACTTTTCTTTGCATTTTTTTCGTTATTTTTATCGTGTAACCAATCCTGGGTACTTTTTCAATACGGAACCGAATTTCGTTGACTGTCAAGTGAACCAGCCTGTGTTCTGCTATGTGCTCGCCTGTCGCCATGTTTTTCTTCATAACAAGGTTGTTAAATAAACCACCTTTGTTTTGAACACTTCTGCGTTACAGTAAAAGCACGACAAAACTTACATAATCGTTGATTGGCGATCGAGACGGTAGACGCTCAGTTGACCATCCTTCGAGATGCTCACGTTGTATAGTCGGCTGCCTCTGTGTGTCCGCGTGGAAATTTTCGGCACAGGAGGTGTGAAGCGCGTCTGAGTGGCATCTGTGATCTAAAAAAAAATCACGTTGGAATGTTAAACTAGCCTCCTTTTTCGATGGTTAGTTGGAAGGAAAATCCAGAGGACCTATCTATCCGTCCTGAACGAGTGTGTACCACGGAAATTCGCCAAACCCCACTGCTCGCCACAGGTTCTCTTATCATATTAACTAGATAAATCAATCATCTGTTTGTTAGCCGAAATTCGTAGAAAAAGAAATAAACTTGTAAATAAATGAATAAATGCAATGAATAAATACGTGTGCTACATAGCTTCACTTGTAATACAGCGGATGACTTAAGAATTTTCGAGCAGAGCTGTTATGATCGAGGTTTGCCGTGCGTCGTACATAGTTAATTATCATTATCATGAAACGCGTCGCACTCAATTATTTCATAATTATGCTGTAAAGATTGTTACCAAGAAAAGCTTGTGCCCACTGTTGATACGTTTCTTTTTTTTATTTTTTGCTTTAACGTTCACGTGTTTTTCAGGTATAACTTTTCAATCACGAGTCCGCTTCGGCACTCTTCCGTCTTCGTCGGTCTCGAGCTGTACCCGAAATTACTGCTTTAGCGACTAGCACTACTTACAATACCATTGAGAAAAGCTTGCCCACCAGTTCTGCTGTCGCCTAGCCATGCACCTTTTAGTGCAAGCTGTGCTAGTTTTTTTTGCCAAAGCGCATAGGGCGACACCAAGCCAATAGATGCATAACCTTTATTTCACACAATTATTTGCCTTCCGAAGCGGAGTGGATGATAAGGCTGTCCGCAACCACTGTAGCAGCGAGGAAAGTATTCAACATGTTCTGCGCCGCTGTCCATACCGAAGGCGCACATCTTGTCGTTAGCGGATGTGTTATCCATAGGCGCGCGCATGCTGCCACTTCAAGGAGGGGGTGGGAAAGATTCGTTGTGGGGCCCCCTAGTCACCTCAGAGTTACTCCTTTTGAGTCACTTAAATGAGGCACCCTTTAGTCACCTAAGAGGTGGCCGCCCCTTTGCGTGGAGTGGTTGTTGGCCGTATGTTTTTGAGACTTTTTAGCAATTATAACAAAAATATTGCCATTAATACTTGGTTGTTTCCATGTTTTATATTATTCTAGACGTTGTCATTCATTTCAGACCTGCTTTGAACATTGTTGACGTAGGGCGCTATGCAGAATCGCCCAAGCTTGGTGAAACACGAGATCTTTCCGAGATATGGCGACACGTCCCTTTTGAATGAGCCAAAAGTGCAAAAAAAAAGTCAAATCCACTCTAAGTGTGCTGCGTTTCATTGGTTACGATGGAACACGGCATCGCGTCACGGATGGTCGACAAAGTTCGGTGGTATTTTCAAACCAGATGCATCTTTCATTAGTTCGTTGTTTCACTGAGTGCAGAACTGCACCCCTGCAACAAAAGTGTCAGAAGCTTTTCCTGATGATATTTTTTTAAATCACGAGCTGTTTAATTTGATTTTGAAGCTTTTAATGCCTGCACTAAGTCGGCTTCAGAATAATCAGCAGGTGGGTCTGTGAGATTCGTTCTTGCCGAGCGCCTCACAACATCATGACGGCAGCTAAACCTGAGGCCACGTGTTGATCATCATGGTCAGCCTGTACGTTCTAGCGCGCTGCAAGCCGGTGCGTGCCTTTTTTGTCGTCTTCATCATTCGCTAGCACCCAACCACGTGCGGCTGGTTAATCAGCTGGGTGGTACACTTTACTACTTAGGGCAAGACATGCTATGACCGAGGTAGTTAAGCCAAGTCACGGTATAAGACCAAGGTGATTACGTAACATCCTAAGAAGACCATAGCAATGAAGCCGTGTGAAGCTAGAATCGTGCTAACTAAAGCATGCTAGTTGAAGCCCTAACTAAATCATGCTAGTTAACGGAACATTATTCATGAGCACGCTAAGTGAAACCATCTTAATTAGGCCTTACCATTATGATTACTATTAGGATCGTGCTAATAATAATTACGTTAAATAGCTCTTTACTAATATATACGAACATGATATAACTATTGCCGTTTTAATTGAAACCTTATTAATTGAGACATAACTGGTCAGCGTATTGTTCATTAAACAATAGGTAATGAGTATATTTAAAATTAAGACGAAGCTGACGCGTCCCTCACTTGAAAACACACCAAGCAGATTAGTAGACGACCAAATTGAAAATATGGGAGAAACTAGGTTATTAGAAGCGCCTCTATGGCAGTGCAAGATGACCAAATTATTGCATATTCAAAGAAGCTTCTGCTTAGCACCCACCGCATGAAACGCTTGCCCCACCGCGGTGTTGTATAGTGGCTAAGGCACTCTGCTGCTGACCCACAAGTCGCGGGATCGAATCCCGGCTGCGGCGGCTGCATTGTCGATAGAAACGAAAATGCTGCAGGCCGGTGTGCTCAATTTTGAGTCCATGTTAAAGTACCACAGATGCTCTAAATTCCCGGAGTCCTCCACTACGGCGTCTCTCATAATCATATGGTGGTTTTGAGACGTTACACCCCCCATATCGATCGATGAATAGCATCAAACGCTTGACAGTCACACAGGCACCATGACAGTTATGAGTTGAACTAGGGCGCCCTCAGAATTAACGAGTTTTTATCAGAGTACATGCGTGAATCAGACTGATTGAAAGAGGCCTGCGGCAAAGTTCGGGCCCACCCACCACTTCTGCTCTTGCCGAGGAGCATGTGCTCACACCGCAACGCCAGCAAGCGGCACAACTCATTTATCAGCTTTATCGTGGAGACTACGCACACACGCATGCCGAAGTAAAATTTACATCATCACACGGCTAATACGTTCGTAGTTGGCGAAAATCAACGCGGCTGTGAGTGAAAAAAGTATCGAGTGTGGCTACTACGTTCGTAGTTGCTACACTCGATACGTATCCACTCACCGCTGAGTTGCCGCCAAGATGCGAGCGCCCCTGGTGTCAACCTGCCCTTATATTTATTTGAAATACTTGATAGAAGCAAAACGAGCAACAAGAGAGTGCTGCGTGCGTGCCCTTGCTGCTTTCGAATTCTGAAATTTTCATGCTGGAGGTAAAACGAAAGAACATGCCCGAAGGAGGACAAACACCCGCGAGCCCGCCTGTAGGGGGCGCGTGTTGAGTTGGGAAAAATATAGCGCGACAATCAAGCTGACGGCCCGGTTGATTGATATGTGGGGTTTAACGTCCCAAAACCACCATATGATTATGAGAGACGCCGAAGTGGAGGACTCCGGAAATTTCGACTACCTGAGGTTCTTTAACGTGCACCCAAATCTAAACACACGGGCCTACAACATTTCCGCCTCCATCGGAAATGCAGCCGCCGCAGCCGGGATTCGATCCCGCGACCTGCGGGTCAGCAGCCGAGTACCAAGCTGACGGCCCGGCACTGGCGAAATGGTTACTGAGTGAAGGTGCTGACGTTACGCAAGCTATGTTTTTTTTTTTTTTGGAATAAAATGAAAAAAAAAACGTTTATTACAGGGGAAAGAAAGGAAATAAGGGCTAGAAGCTGGTGGGTGGGGCCCCTAGTCCAGGGCTCTACTGGCCTCAGCAGCCCGCCTTTGGTGACCACCCCAAACACCCAACAAGCGTTTCAGACGCCACGCGTGTTCTTGTAGCCATTATTATCAGCGCTGCTATCAGGCGCTCCGCACTGTCTTGATGTCATGGCCACTGTAGAGGAAGCTCGCATGCGAGCTCAGATCATTCTCGTCTGCCCGAGGAGCATCCTGCATAGCACTCCTAGTTTTAGGTTCGTGTTGGGTACTCGATGTTGCGTCGCATATATCTACGATTGGGCGACAAGCCGGATCTCTAAAGGGCATAAAAATGGAGCAGACTGTAATCCTTCATCTAGGTGTTTCACAGTCTCACTAACGTCTCGGTGTTCGCTTTTAAGAATCAAGAACATGCGTATAATCCCGGGGCTCTGTATGAAAATCAATTTAAAAAATAAGTGCGCCATTTAGAGTTTTTCTGCAAAACTGCGCGAATGCGGGGGACAAATGAGGATGTATGGAAGATAAAGGCTGCGGAAAACAGTGATTACAAAGAAAATACTTGCTACAATATATTTTTAATATTCTGTTTTGCAACAGTGGCGATAAGAGTTTTTTCTTGTGTGAAAATTTCTGGTTAAAGAGCGTCTTTTCACCAACTCTATACGGACATTAAAATTATTTTCACTTGTAGTTAGCGAACTTAATTTGCAAATTTCGAGATTCCTATTTGTCTATGATGATGAATACTTCGCACAATATGCTTATCATACTCTAAATTATGCTGAACCAGAAATTCTTCCCCGTCTTCGAAATACATATTAGGTTCACCATGTAAAACTTCCACAATGAAACCCGGTTGTGACTTTATTATAAGCGTGTCTGAAATGAGCTCACCGTGATCCTCGCTGTGTCGTTCCCGTAGAAGACAATGCTCACTGCTACAGACTGCACATCTTTGTCGATGCCCGATGGAATTTTCCTGTGTAGCTTCGCGGAGATGTGATCGGGAAAATAATCCAAGTCATCGAGCACGTATCCTTGATAATCGGCAGGATAGTAGCAGAATGGAATGTTTGGTCCCGAAGCGTCACCCAGTGAGCCCCAGCAGCAACCTCTTGCCTCGCACCCCTGCTGCGTTGAGCCGGGCTCCGGATAGCAGTCGAAACGGTCTGCTACGCTGGCCAGATCACATTTTCGGTCGTAGCCTAGTGGGAGTACAACAGTAACTTAGCCCATCTCGTTCAGCTAGCAATTGAAGGCTCCACGACATCAAGTATCATATCGTCATCGCTGCAAGATGATAAAATTTCAGCGCATTTTGTCCAGCACTTGCTTTATAATTCAATATTTTTGTAAACATGCAATGTGAAGTCGGGCAACACTGGCGCACTCGCGAGCCGTGACGTAACAAGCTGCTTGCTTTGCGAGCGTCTGAATTCTGGCGAACTATTTTAGGGCTGAAGCTCTTCTTAGTCCAACCTTGTCCTGCGTCAGGCGTAACCAGCAGCGTCTCCCGAACAGTTTAATAAACAGTGCTGTCTCATAACCATTTCTACTCTGATTTCTTAGATGGCGATAGTTCAATAGAAGTGCGTGAAATAGGATGGATGGACGCACGGACGGACGAATGCAAGCGTGGATGGAAGCGCGGACGGAAGCATGGACGGATGCTCGGAGGGATGCATGGATGGAAGCACGGACAAAAGCACGGAGGGACGGAAGCATGGACGGATACGCGGAGGGACGCATAAATGGACGGCAGAACGCACGGCTGGGTGGATGGACGCTTACACCACTCATTGTCATTCACTCCGTGCATATGCTGTGAATTCTTTGTTTCTGGTCAGCTACGCGTGTAATATATAGGGCTATTTAGGCTTTCGTGAGCTTGGCATAGAAGTTTAATTATTTAGAGCAGTTAAATCTTTGGTTGAAGACCACGGCTCCGCTTTATCTGCTCTGTAGACGGGGATATTTTTGGCGGGGTGTTTATGTGTAGAACGGCGTACCTTGGCAGCTGGTGGTTGGTGTGGACGCTCGTAAATGCTTTAGTATCTCCCGAAACAATTTATATGGGAAAATTTACGGTGGTGTCAAAACCCTCTCAACTCCCACTTAGTTTCGGCCCTGCAGCACATGACGTCACAAAATGGTGGTCGCGGGGGTAGGCCGGGTTCATAGCCAGCAATTCTTAGGGAACATTTAGCGCATAAATGTAATTTTAGAGCTTGTTTTTCACTCATGTAGAGGTACGATAGACTGCCTACAACCATTTCTCGATGAAAACCATATTGTTGAGCATCTGTGACATGGCCATTTTAATGTATGGCCCACGCTCTTAAGGTATTTTCAGCTTTATCACAATTGAACAATAAAGACTGTTGAAATCATATTATACTTCTAGATTGCACTTCCAGAGTTGTGTATATTAACTTCAATAGAAAGATCGACAGCAAAGCACCCGTCTTCGAATTTCGCAAAAGAAAGAATACGACATCATAACCGTGATATTACGCATGACACCACATTTCTTTTTAGTTAGTTCATTTTACATATTATTTATTATCTTTGGTCTGAGCTTTTTTTTACTTTAAAGCAAGAAAGACATCTTTCTCTCATAAGCAATGCATAATTGGTTATAGTATTCACCAACAACATTTTGCGGAAGTGTTACAAAAATATTAAGCTACGTCACGCTTCTTTCGTCTTTGGATTTCATTCTGAAGTAACACAATGAAGTCAACAATAAAATGGTATGAAATATGAAATGTACATGAGTAAAAAATAAAACAAAATCGGCTAACCTAGTTACTTTTTAGCATGCACGCTTGTCTGCTCGTAATATCTGATGTAAGATATTGCTGCTGGTTTTACATTAGTATAGCCTTACTGTTTCACGCACCTTTCAACTCCGCCTTGTAAGCTGAAGAAATCCTAGTCTAATGTGGAAAAAACAATGTGCCTCATTTCATTTCTATCTGAGGAGTGATCCGGATGGAGACTGCATTTTTATATCAGAGGAATGATCTATATATAGACTGCATTTTCAAAAAAAAGTACACTTGACAGATACACGTTGTAGTCGCGTACTTATACGCAGTATTTTTCTCTCCGCTTCTCTCCGCCACGAACAAAAAGGTTGCATTTGTGTTTTCTTTGTGTAAAATACACTTATAAAGTCACAAGAGTCATCTGACTTGGTCTCCACAGCAAAAATAATCGGTTGGATAGCGTAGCGATCGAGCTTACAGCTTAGTTGTAGTATGGTTTCAAGAATGTGTTTTTTCATGGCTATGGCTTCAGGATTTTATTTCAAATCCCGGCTGCGGCGGCTGCATTTCCGATGGAGGCGGAAATGTTGTAGGCCTGTGTGCTCAGATTTGGGTGCACGTTAAAGAACCCCAGGTGGTCAAAATTTCCGGAGCCCTCCACTACGTCTATAGTTCTAATCTATGCCAGTACTGTACCACCATAGCCACTCTCGACCATATACTATGGGAATGTCCAGCATTAGTCAGAAATTCTGGGATCGCGGCCTCCAATGAAGACCTTCGGGCGCGTTGGCGGACTGCGCTGCTCAGTTCGGGCCTGGACAAACAACTTTGGGCGATCCAGCAGGCCAAGGAAGCTGCCGGGAGACACGGTCTCTCCGTTGGCCCCTAGGTGGGAGCCCATCCCAGCAATCTGCCGGAAATTAATAAAGTCTATTTCTCTCTCTCTCCACTACGGCGTCTCTCATAATCATATGGTGGTTTTGGGACGTTAAACCCCACAAATCATATCAATCAGGATTTTATTTATAGAATCAGAAACATAAGTTTGCTTTTATTAAATTTTGAAGGAAGGAGAGCATGGAGGAGAGATTTCTTATGGCGTTTTCGTTGGGGAGTTTACGAGCGCTCTGGAGCGTCCTGAACAGTGGCCGCGCGTTCGACTGGCAGTATTCGAGCTGTCAGACCACTTTTGGTTGGTTATCACGGCTCGCTCCCAACCACCCTGACTCTGAAATGAGAGCGTGGTGCGATCTGGCTGAAATCAAGGCTCACGTGACACAGTGAGTTAGTGAGTGAGTGAGTTAGTGAGTGAGTGAGTGAGTGAGTGAGTGAGTGAGTGAGTGAGTGAGTGAGTGAGTGAGCGAGCGAGCGAGCATTTATTAGTTCTGGCAAAACGTGACTAAACGCGCACCTGCAGCTAATCCACGACGGGACCACCAGGTCAAGCCTGCCGGCTCGATCGCGGGCGCGCTGGACTTCCAGGATTTGGTCTTCAATGATGGGCCTTCGCAGGACCGTGTTCCACCATTTCTTGCTCAACGTCGGGCCCAGCGACTCGCACTCCCAGAACAAGTGAGGCAAAGTAGCAAGCTCGCCACAGGCCGCGCAAGAACCATTCGTGTAAATTTCCCGATGGATGTTATTAGGGAACACAGGATTTGGGTAGGGATTGGTTTGCAGCTGTGAGAGCCTTGCGTTGACGGCAGGTGACAGCCGGAGTGCATATTTCGGAAGGAGACCTCGCCGGGCGTCTGTTGTTAGTGGCGTTTTTTAGCGTGTGTGTGGTGAGTTCACATCTGCGTGAACTCATCGCATATAAGTGCGTCGTGTCAAAAAGGAGGCGGCTATAGTCAATACTGTTGTTACAGGAGCTCTCAAACAAATGCCTTGAAGCTGGCAGCTCGAATGACGATGATCGCCAGATTTATTACCAGGCTGCAGCTGCTGCATTTTCTATGAAGGCGAAAACTTTGTAGGCCCGTGTGCCCAGATTCGGGTGCACGTTAAAGAACCCCTGGTGGTCGAAGTTTCTGGAGCCCTCCACGGCGGCGTCTTTCATAATCATAGGGTGGTTTTGGGTAAATAAATTCCGCATATCAGTTATCAGGTTTACGAGCTGAGGTCACAAGGCTGTCACCGTGTCCCAACATGTCAACTGTCAATTCCAGGCGGCGCGCACACAAAGGCTCCCTAGCTGCTACGATATCGCCACTGCATTCGTCGGGTACGCTGTCCACGCTGCCTCCCGCGCTCTGATTGCGAGCTGCCTTAGTGGCTTCTGGCGACTCCGAACTAGAGGACCGGAGTGGCCAACTGAACACACTATTAATACGCAGTGTTGTTCTGCTGATTCCGAGTCATGTTCAGGTTACAGTCAAATTTCCGTTAATGTGCCAGGAAAGCGTTACTCAATCAAAAGTAATGCTTTAGACACGGGACACTGACACAAAAATTTTTTGTTATCATTTTCGCATCAAGGTATAAGCAACACCTACGAAATCTGCAGAAAATGTACTGGTAAGCACGTGCGAAATTCGAAAAAAAGTTATAACATGTTTTTAAAAGCTAGTTTAAGTTCCTACTGTGCTCTGATGGCACGAGGCGGTGTGAGTGCCTGTCGCATGCCGACGTGAGCAATTGTGACGTTTCCATGGTTGCTACGCTGTGTGGCTTCACTGTTGACGTGCTAGCGGCCATCTTGAATGATTTGGTAATGCGCACGCGAACATCCTTCAAGTTTCGCTACCTAACGTCATCACAACAAGCTGGGCTGCTGCATAAGGCCACAAAACATTGACGCCTTAGCCATACGTCACGGTAGTCTCGATGCCATAGGTGCGTCATGCACATATTGAGTCTGGCATAATTATTTTTGAAAAATTACGGCAGTTTCACACTAGAGGTGCCAAGAGGAAAGAAGCTGGTTGGTTGGTTGGTTGTTCCGTAAAGTTCTGGCGCAACGTCACAAAACTTTCCTTATTTTAGATGGATGGATGCCAAACTTCATTGCAAGCTCCCTAGTTGCATGACTCAACGCGAAGCGCTATGCCACCGTCGGTGTCCGTAACGACTATCGCGTGAAAAAGGTTAAAAAAAAACTAACTATAAAGCCCCAAGGGGATTCGAATTCGGGTCCGCTGTGCACCAGCCCAGAGAGCCCCACCCTCCGAAACCAAACTGCAAACTGGTCTTAGGCAGGCTTGATGCCGGGAAACGAATCACGATAATATGAGAAATAAAGCGTTTTCGTGCTCGACTGCTAACCCGAAGGTCGCGGGATCGAATCCCGGCTGCGGCGGCTGCATTTTCGATGGAGGCGAAAACGTTCGAGATCCGTGTACTTAGATTCAGGTGCAAGTTTAAGAAACCTGGGTGGTCTAAATTTCCGGAGCCCTCCACTACAGCGTCTCGCATCGTGGTATCGTGGTTTAGGGAAGCTAAGCCCCAGATATTATTAAAAATTGGGGGACCCTTAACTTCGCCTTTAAGAGTTAAACGCGATAGTGAAATCTGGCCCCTAGTGCACCCTTAAAACGCTAAGTGCAGCCCCGCCGTGGTGGTCTAGTGGCTAAAGTACTCGGCTGCTGACCCGCAGGTCGCGGGTTCGAATCCCGGCTGCGGCGGCTGCATTTCCGATGGAGGCGGAAATGTTGTAGGCCCGTGTGCTCAGATTTGGGTGCACGTTAAAGAACCCCAGGTGGTCGAAATTTCCGGAGCCCTCCACTACGGCGTCTCTCATAATCAAATGGTGGTTTTGGGACCCCACATATCAATCAATCAAACGCTAAGTGCATACTTATTAATATGTTTTGTTACGCACGCACTCAATATGTTACATACGCACGCATTAACACAAACAAACACACAGTTGATTGGACCAGCGCGTGCTATTATCGCAAAATGGGCTCGTTTTCGTCGTGACACTTGTCGAATAAAATGCGCTGAAGGAGCCCTGAAACACTTTTTCAAGTAACCACGGAATGAATTCACTAGAAGAGCTTATTGCCGCACGAGTTCAACGCCACAAAAATTTTAAGAATCCGTTCAGTGCGAGTGGAGTTATAAAGGTTTGTCGCATGCAGCAATTGCATTATCTCTTCTCTCGTCCCGACAAAAACGCTACAAGCTAAGCAGGGAGGGGTGGCAGGGCAAATAAACTACCACGCCTCGTGTCCTTGAGCACTTTTTTTTTTCTGCGAACGCGCGCCTTTCTCAGTGTGATCGCGCGCGCACGCGTGGAAAAGTAGCGGCCTCCCGCGGCTATCTTGGTAACTTGATTTTTTCAGTCACAGACGCACCGACCATTTTTCGCTCACAACCAATGGGGCCTACACCGGCGGCGGGTTTTCTGCGACATGAGCTCTCTTACACTACTGCGTTAGTATTTAGACGAATAACCAGGCGTCACAAAATATGAATTAATTGATGAGTAGTTCTTCGAATGCCCCAACCCATTACCTTCAGGCAGAATTCTTCATCGTCGTCAGCCACATCATCAAACAATTGTGCGAAATTTTGGTGTACAGCAAGCCACAGCAAGTGTACAGCAAGCCACGCTTCTTCAAATAATGACAAAGGATGGCACAGTGAAAGCCTCCCTACTACGCAAAAATTATGATGATTTATGGTATAATGGGTACCCAGCAAGTGTGCTTGTAGCGGTTACCCAAAGAATGTTTAATGAAAATGAAGAGGCTCTGAAAGGCCGCTCTTCCAGTTTTCGCTGAGGCTGTGCTGCGCGTTCCGCACCGGCCTGGTGTTTTTTTTTTCTTCTGCTGCCGATTATAAGTGATCATTATCAAGGCGCTCCAAGCACGAAAGGAAGACTTATTGGCTTGAGCGCACACTCAACATGCTACGCCAAGCGACGACGACAGCCCGGCCTCCTGACGTGTTCGTACTCAATATCAGCGTTTACCGAGTTTAAGACTTGCTGAGAGTGGTGTCGCTTACAGGAGATTTATTTCGGGCAACGAACTCAGCTTCGAAAATTCGTGCCAGTTATATTTGAACGTCGTGCGCTGGCGCTGTGATTTAAATGGACACTAAAAAGAAACAACAGATCAGTTTAAGTTAATGAAGTGTTCTTTGATAAATGTAATGTCGTCAAGTTCACTATCAAATTCTTAGTGATAGAGGAGAAAGTCAAGAGCAAAATCCCATTTTTAAATTTCACGCCGTAATTTCTACTCGTGACGTCACAGATTTCATAACGTGTTTGTGGTATTTTGGTAACATTGGGTGAACGAAATTTGTAAAACTTGCAGATTATCAGTATTGATCGCTCAGAGATCACTCTAATTAATTTTTACCGATTAGGAGATACCTAGGCGCTAGTATAGATGTAATGAAAATTTTGATGTGACGCCATGGCGCGGGAATTTCCAGGTGGCTTCGCTACCTGCATCTGCTTTTTTGCGCTTTTTCACGCTTGAGAAACGCCTTTTCGCCGCAAGATCACTGATTTTGGAATATCGAAAGAGTAATTTGCCAATAATGTTTTTTTTTTACTGAGCGTCCTTAAAGGTAACCCAGTATGCTCACGGCTGGCAGACACTGTACGAGATCAATATCGATGCGATCCAAAACGCTAAGTCTTCACGTAAATGAACTTACCATCGAAGTGTCCTGGCTGGCTGAAGTTACCGAGTGCATTCCATGAAAAATGTTGGGCCTGGGAGCACGCGACGCTGCGGGTGACAAAAACGGAAAACATATAAATTGAATAGATACATCACCATTTGTTGGGGCTTCAATTTGTTTGTATTGTAATGATTGCGACAAAGAGACAACGCCCGCACACTGGGCTTGTTTGCTTGCTAGCTTGTTCCTATACGCGTTGGCTCGTACCGTCTACCGGGGATTGATAATTAAACCGGTGGTTATTGTAATGAAAAAAAGAGAAATCTCAAATTTTGATGAAGGAGCAATAATTATTTAGTTATTTATGGTATTTAAAAGTGGAAAGTTACAAAATGACGTACAAATAAAGTAAGTGAATAACTAATATTTCAAGTGAATAAATGAGTGCTAACTACAAAAAACTAGAATTTTATTTGTAAAAAAAGAAAATCTAAGAAGCAAACCTTCGTGTGTCTCTGCGAAATTCACAAACTGCTATGCAGACGCTCCAGTTGCTGTGGCTCAGAGAAGAATCCCCAAGGGAAAGATTATTTCCAGAATAAGAGTAATGTTTATTTTCTGAACATAATAGTTTATAAATTTTTCTTCTTATACAGCTTGTGAAACGTCAGCAAATAAGTAAAAAAATTATCGATGTTGTCTAGCTTTTCACAGTAAACGCAAAGGGGAGATGATATCTGACCAGACCTGTGTAAATAAAAATTGAGAGGTGGCATCTGGCATCAAAATTTTGTGATGCACACTTCCAATTTGCGAGGGGGGCCCCATGTATTATTCCAGGCAAAAGAAAATTGACGAAATTCTTGAACTGGTAATCTAACTTCCATGGAATCCTGATGTAAGGAATATTTACAAAATCGGGAATCACTGACAAAACGGCTATCAGATACAATGAACACTGCAGGATCATCTAGGGACAACCGCTCGAGAGTGTCAGCCATTTCATTTATAAATATGCCTCGGTGACTTGGCACCCAAACCAACCACAATGTAATTAAGTGTTTTGGGATTAAAGAAGGGAAAGCATTCCAAGAGGAAGACTCGAAAGAAGACGGTGAGGTTATTAATCTACGTACGGAAAATGAATCAGTAACAATAACAACTGCCGAATCATGGATTAAAACTTTTCTAATGGTCAAAATATTTGCAAAGAGCTCTGCTTCAAATATGAGAGTGCAATTCGGGAGACGTACTGAGAATGACCAAGCAATGTCTCTGAGAAGATGCCTACTCCCACTTTTTCTTCACACATGCCTGCATTCGTAGCAATTGGATTGATAATTGTCAATTGAAGTAGATAGTTTTTTAATAAACATTTCATGTCATGTACTGACGTCCCATGTACATGTTATCGCTTATCACCCACGCAAGCAGCGGTGGCCTCACCACGAGTTAACAGCCATTCTATTAAAAGACTGAGCGTCAATAAACCTACGTTCATTTCCCAGCTGAGCGTCCGACTGATTTACTACATTGGCAACGAGGTGGACCGGCCTGGCGAGGCCACCGTCGAAGAAGGCGGCATGGCAGTCGGCAAGATCGGTGAGTATCGTCTTGGCACGGATGCGTCTTGGAATGAGTACATCGAGTGGTTGGAGATGCTTTGCGTCGAGAACAAAATAACAACGGATGAGCAGAAAAGAGCAGTTCTACTGAGTTGGTGCAGCAAAGCAGCGTACGGGTTCATCGTAACGCTGGTGAAGCCAGTAAGACTGACAACGGCAAGCTACGACGAAATCAAGGCGACCGTTCGCAAGCACCTGCACCCGAGGCCTTCCGAGCTGCACGCAGAAGAAACCAGGCTTCTGACGAACCGTGGTGGCAGACTATATCACCGTACTGCGGAAGCTAACCGAAGACCGCGGGTTTGGTGACAAGCAGTTACCGTTGGCCATCACGATGCGGGATCGTATCGTGTGCGGCATCAAGAATGAAATGGTCTAGCAGAAACTTCTCGCCGAGCAGCACTTTAGGTTCCAGGTCACGCGCGACACAGCCATGACAGCTGAAGCTACGACGCAACAGCTGCGAGACATACTCAACTAGGGACGAGATGGGACAAAAGCGAGCCAGAGCCCAATTCAAGCCAATCGCATGAAACAAGAAACTACGGCGAAAGGTTTCATTTGCTATCACTGCAGCGGTAAGCACGCAACAAATTTATGCAGTTTCAGAAAGGTGGCATGTTTCAAGTGCAAAAATATTGGACACACAGCAAAGGCCTGTCGTACCAAAGACGAGATTAGAAAGTTTTAAAAAAATATAGTTTGCAGTAGCAGAATAAAAATCACAGCATATTCACTGAATGAACGATGATGAGCGGGCGAAGCGTCTGTAAATCCGTCCGTGCGTCCGTACGTGTGTCCGTCTGCGTGCGTCAATTCGTGTGTCTGTCTGTCTGTCCGTCTGTCTGTCCGCGCGTCCGTCCGTCTTTCTAGTGAACACTTCGAGTACCGCAATGTCGCTTCTTTTTATCATATATTCTTCATATATTAGTACCGTCATCCAGCGGACAATCCAAAGACTAAACGAGAGTATGCACCACATTTCTCCTGTCATCACTTTGTGAACACTGAGAGCGTAATAACGAAGCCGTGCTACGTTTTTCGTAACATGCGGACATGCGGATATGTGCCTGAGGGCGGGTATGTGCCACTGGTATGCGGGTAAGTGCCACAGTTTACGCACTACGACGACGAGAGACGCACAAGCCACGCAAAAACAGTAAAAACGAGGCCTCTTACGAAATTACCGAATTATTTTCCGGTTGTGAAGTGATTGAGCAAAAAGAAAAGTCGCAGCTTTGCCGCAAAAGCCTAGCTAGCAATGAATGCGATAAAAAAAGAAAGGTCACGTGCAGAATGACCAGCAGATAGAAACGTTCCCCGCGTTCCTCGCGCACAAATGACGCACGATACATACTCTCAGGTAGAGTTGAACGTGAATAAGCGTCTCGGTTATTACTTCGGCGTGTCTGAAAAGCGCGCTCTTTTCGCAAACGTAGACTCTGCGACGATTGCAGTGACCTTTGTGTGCCCGGTAAATAAAACAGAATCGTACAAGAAGAAGCCGAACAACATACAAGACGTACAATCCTCCCTACCGTAAGATAAGGTCGCGTGAGTGAGTGTCGACCCCCTGCTCTTTGCGAGGTGGAGTGTGCGTGGGAAATGAGAGCACGGCCGCACGTCGTGACGATGTTGCTACGTGCGCTCATTGCGCTATCTTGCTGGTAATGCTGAAAACACAATAGTCCCCTCCCCGCGAGATGCCCGTCAGCATCGGTAAATGGTAGGTAGCTTGCCGTTTGAACGTTGAAGGACGTGCTTTTCGGTGGCTCAGTGGTTAACGCCTTGCACTCGCGAAGCAGAGAACCCGAGCTCGATTCCGCACAGTGGTGTCTTTTCTTGGATTTTTTTCTTACGTGCATTCCCACATATACAGATACGTATACATATACGGTGAGTGACGGCGACGCCCACGTTGACGCCGACGCCGCAAAATCTAGCCATGAGGGTCCATATAATTGCTATCGCAATAAAAACGTATGGTAGACGTACAGATTGACGGGCAGAATGTACCCATAGAAATTGACTCTGAAGCGTCGTGCTCAATCGTGAGTGAAGACACGTTCTGATTATTCGCGGGAAAGCAAAGCAAAACGCCCCTTCACAACGCTTGTAACCTGTTTAAAGGAGGTGTTGCCCGTAGCTGGTCGTGCAAGTGTTGTGGTGAAATTCGAGGACGGCAAAACTGTCTTTGTTAGTAGTAAATAGAAGAGGTAACAGCTTGCTTGGGCGAAATTGGTTTGTGCCCTTGGGAATTGAGCTGAATGGAATTCAGCAAATGAATGTTGAAGACGTGACTTCACAATTTTCTGAAGTGTTTCGCAGTGACCTTCCTAGCTTCAATGAACTGCCAGTGCAAATTGAACTGAAAGACGGCGCTAAACCGACGTTAATCGGCACGCAAGCCTTCCATACCGAGGATGGTCTTAGCCAGGTCCTGTAAGACCCTTTCCTCCGGCAATTCACAATATGTAACACTTTTGAAAATACACTTTTTGGCGCACTAAAGCGAGGACACTCACAGATAAGATTGGCGATCGTTTCCTCGAAGCTACCATTGTTAAATGTCGGGTTTCTTGCTATTACTATTCGAAATGAGTAAGGATCCGTGAAGGGACACTCCGAGCAAGAGGCGGCACAGGAGCGTCTTCTCAGCTATGAAGTTATTTCGAACCTAAGACGACGCTGTAGATTCGGATCCAATTTAGTTACTGTATATAGTATGAATAGTAGCATATACAGGAATTCTAGGATCCAAGTTTTTGAGAAGGGCATTCTTAAATTCCATTGTGTTTCACTGTTTGAGAGCCAATTCACGTACTAACGAACGAAGCCTTGTAGCGGCGTCCAGTTCCTGATAAAACTTTGGCTGCGCAATTCACAGCATGATGAGCAGATGGGGCTGCTTCTTCTTCAAGGTAATTTTCGTAGGTACCAAAATAACCCGGTGTTCACGATGTTGAACTTTCCTTCACTACGGTCATGAAGTGGTGTTATGTCAGAGACTGATGGTTCATTTGGTCTGTGACAATAAGGCAACGTAATGCACTCGAGGGCTCCTTTGGAGTCGAGGAAAAATGACTATCCATGTGGCAGTTCTTCATCTTATTTACAGTTTCGCGACAGTCGGATTTCCAGCGCAAGGCCGTTCTGCTGTTCAACAATATGTTTAGTTGATGCGAATTTCGTGAACCATGCACTGTGTGGGCGAGAAGCATTCTCAAATCTGTGAAGCTATATAAAGTATGGGTTCCTTGCAGTGTAGTTTCGACCTGAAGGTTAAGCAATGACAGTCCTGGCCAATATTCGGCGTTGCACCTCAACTTCTTTGAATGTGATCTAAGCATGAAAGCAAATGCAACGCTTTCATGTCCAGCAGCACTCAAGCAAACACCTGCTAGTCAGTAGGAACTGTGTACGGAAGGCTCGACGTGATGAGAAGCATCACAAGCGTTGCTGCCGTGACCCACCTGTGATGC